TTTATGTGTATATCTCCAGTCGATGCATTTAATCTATACAAGAAATAAGAAATTACATCTGAGAGAGAAACAGAGTGATTGAGGAAGACAGGTAAGAAGGACAATTAGTTTTCACTGTATTCTAATTTATAGCTTCTGAATTTTGTACTAGTCAAGAAATTTCAATTAACGCAAAGGCCAAAAACTGCAGCTTCCTCGGCCTTACGTAGGACCCATAGAATCAGATTCTCTGGGGAGGGAGTTAAGGTTTTTGCAGTTCTAACAAGCCCTGTAATACGTGATTCTCGTGCACAAGGGAGTTGGAGAACCCCTGACACAGAGCATCACTGGTAATGCTCACTTATCAAAATAATAATAGCAACAATGATGTCAGCAGTAATGAGCACTTACTGAAAAAGATAAAGCCCAGGATACCACTGCCAAAAGCTTGTGCAAGTTTTCCTGAGGAAAAAAAGTCTTTGGCACAACTAAGCCCAGAAAGATCTTACACAAGGAGGTCTTCCTCATTCTCTGTGGTGTTCAATTTAACCACTATTAATAATCTCACCAGCTTTTTATACTTTGCGAAATGCTTTTCCCCTAATCTTTTGAGCTAGGTAAGAGCCTAACAAGCCATACTTGAAGTTACATGAAAAGGGGAAGGGACTCGTTCCAAAGACGATGCCTCCAAACTCACCACTTTCCAGCTAACTACCAGGCACCACCTCGTACGTTCTAAAGAAATACCTAACTGAAAGAAACGTGGACATTTACTAGGTTTCTGCAATCTAGGCATACTTGTGTTGCAAATCATAATTGTGTATTTCTGAGAGCTAGGGGAGAAAAAAGCCTCAAATCTCAGACAGTGTTGGCCTCTCCTCTGCGTTCTTCCATTTCTTCACCTTTAAATCAAGATGAAAAGACAACACGGTGTAGTGATAAAGAGGTTGTGCTCCAGAACCATACTGTCAAGCCAAGCCCTGCCACTGTGCAATCTTGGGCAAGTTACTTAACCTCTCTGTGCCTCCATGTCTACTGAAACATCTGTAAAATGGGGATAGTACCACCTCATTTACTTGGTATGAGGATTAGACAAACATATGTGAAGCACTTGGTGTAGAAACGGGCACAAAGTGCTACATAAATACTTACTGTTATTACATCAGCCTTGGAAGTGTTAAAGGAACCAAATTCACAAAAATAAGGGTAGAAACAGTGGAAGGAGCGGAGAGACAGAGAGGAAAACTCCATAACAGCTAAAGAGAAGACACAGAAGGCAAATAACAATGAAACATTGGTTGTTTCCAAGAAATAAAAAACCAACTACAAGATACTGAAGCAATGGGCCAAGCAAAGCAAAGCTGTTTTTTCCTTGCTCTGCGGACTGCTCAGCTGCCAGACTTTTCCATTTTCCGGTCTGGGTCTCTATCGTATACGTTTTATACGGGGGCCCCAGGCCACGGAGGCTCAGTGCTGGGCGCGGTGGCAGCTCTCACTGAGGCCCTGTGTTCATGACCATGACCAGGACTCCCACTCTTTGCTGAGGCTACGTGAGGACTTCGCCTCCAGACAGATGAGACCGGAAGCGGATAGAGGAGATTCCAATGCCACCAGTCTCCCTAGTCGTGGAGGGGCCCTGGGAGGCTCCTCAAACTCGGGAAACCCAGACCAGGCCACAGACTCGCCATCAGTCACCCTGCACAGAGCCCACCGTTGGGACTGTGGGACGCACATGCAGATGGAAGGGACCTCCCAGCCCACACTGTTTGAGCCCGAGATCCAGCGAGAGCGAGCCCCAAAAGCCGTGGGGTATCTAGATTATCTTCAGAGATGGGACCACTAAAAACTGAAATATAAGCACTTCTAATAATTATACACTCTTTAATCGCTCTACTTCAGTCATTTTAAAAATGTCCATTACTTTAAAAGAAGACCACCAAGCAACATAAGTATCTCTGGAACGGAAATAGTGGCATCAACTGTACAACGGTCACTTCCCTGTGACAGCTACTGAGCAGGAAGGACAGTGAAGCACCGGTTGTCACTCCAGGTGCCTAGTTCAGATTCAGGGACGCGTCGATGCTCAGTCTGACCTGAGTCTTAGGGGTTTGACACACACCTGCAATACCCTCACTTCCCTGTTAGAACGATCAACCATAATTTATTTATCTAAAGTTGCAATGAACTTACGTAGGCTGTTAGCCCGCCTACATCTTTGCAGTTGACCAATTGAGAACACCCTATGTCCCCTGCACGTCCTGCAGACTCCCATCACCTTCCTGCACCTGCTCCTCCTGAACCAAAGATCCCCAGCGAAGCAGCCTGCTCGGAACCCAGCCACACAGAAGCCATCCCGAGGCCTTGAGTTGCCAGAGCTGTAGGTACTACATTTTTACCCACAGACCCTGCCTCAAAAAATTGGCCTAGCAAGTGTATTGTTTGTTTCCCATTTAAAATAATCAAAAAATATCTGACTGCCAATTAGAACTCCCAAGCAACAGAAGATAACTAGTATTGCCAAACTGACTTGCTATTATTTCAACCCAGAAACAAAATGCATTTTAATGAGCCAGAGCTGCCTGATTCTGAATAAATGTTTGCCCTCTGCCTCCTGCCCTGCTCTCCACACACTGGAGTCACAGGAATCCACAGATCCCATGGACAACGAAGCCACCACACTACAAACTGAGTCTAGAATTTGGCAGTAAAGACTTTCTGTGCTGCCCTCCCAGCAGCTAATTTATCTATGATCTGAAATTACATCAAATTTCCAAGGACTGGAGAAAACATTTCCCATGAGCAAAAAGTTAATTTATTTGCACAGGGAAATGAATGGTTCCCTTTGCTTTCCTGACCCTCCCACAGGCACCAGGAAACAACAGTAAGTGACCCTGAAGAGAGATCCCTGACAGAGCCTTCCCTTACATAAGATCACCTAAAATCAGCCATGGGTGACAGAGGACATAAATCCTACAACCCATGGTAACAGGTCTGCAGATTCTTTAAGCTGAAATGTCCCATCTATTTAAATGCATTCCCTATTAAGAAATGACTTGGGCTGGTCTGATGGTAGTGGGTTATCAGAGCTCATTAACATTAGTGTTACTAAAGTCGGTATGCAACGCTCACTGCTAAATTTCACTAGCTAAAAATAAATAATTAAATAAGAAATGACTTGTTTTTGGGTTTTCATGTCATACTTTGGGGGAGGAGTGCTGAGATTGTGTATTTGGAACAAATTGTCAAAAAAAATTTTGCTTTATGAATCAGAGGTAAGAAAGTAGTCATTTAACACATTATTGACTGCCACACCAGAAAAAAAAATTTTATTCTACAAAAATAGAATAAAAACTTTGAAAACAAAATGATCTTTTCTAATTTAACGAAAAATTTGTTATTTCTTATTGGTTTCTGTGTGAGTTACATGCAACTTGGAAAATAGTTCTCGGGGCTCCCAAGGTGATGAGACGTTTGAGTTATACATGGTTCACAAGGCTCTGGGCTCAAAATTAGCATGAGTTAAATACAACTCACATGGCAGTTAGTGTGTTAAAAGGCCCAGATTAGTGGAGTTTGTTGTGTTAGGACAGGCTACAAGAAGCCCCTTCCCCCTTATAATTTATTTCATGAGAACTAGAAACCTTTCCACTTTGTGATAAAAAAAAAAAAAAAAAAAGACGGGAGCCTTAGCAACACAGTGACATTTTAGGATTGGAAGGATCAATATCTGAGACCATCCCCAGAAAAAAGATCAGTTGGAAGCCCCAATAAGAAAAACTCACTTCTCAATCAAAGCATATTAATTATAATAACTCCCAACCCACCAGAAAGCACTCAAATTAATAAGAACTGTAAAAGGAAGGCGATAGTAATTTTCTTCTGCTGTTGGAGCAGCCCTGTTCTATAAAACGATTAGCCCAAGTCAGACTGGGACCTTTCATGCATCCTCCCTCCAGCTCTGCCACCCCCTGGGGTGGGGGGAGTCACTCATTTCACCCTCCTCAGCCTTGTTCAGGAAGCACAGGTGACCACGGGACACCAGACTCTTACAGAGCACAATCTTCTGACATGCCACACTCATTTTAACGTCGTTAACACTAACGCTTCCTCTGTGCCAAGCACTTTGTACGGATTGTCTCACTTAAGCCTACGAGTTACACGCTATTTGCCTTATTTTACAGAGTAGGAGAATGAGCGGTGGATAACGTGCCCAAGGTCACAGGGCTCATCCAAGGCCAAGGAGGGACTTCAAGCCCAGCGGCCCCACGGCACACCCAGCACTGTCAACCACTGTTCCAGCCCAACGTTCGGTATCAGGCGCATGTGGGCGTCACTGAATTCCCCAGACAGGGACACACACCAGCCCTGAGTCTGGCATCCGCCACCACTGAGGAAGACGTCTCTCCTCCCGAAAGACTCAGACTGAACCCCGTGGAGTGGCAGTATCAAGTACATGAAAAGAAACAAACATGCTGCACACTCAGGGGGCCAAGTAAAACGCCACCACTTTGTGTTGTGCGGCAGCCTCCTGATTTCCTGAAATCCACCCAACAATGCACAGAACACAAAGAGGCTGTGGGCTGTTCACATCATTTCTACATATCTTCTGGGGAATGGAAGGTCTGCAACCTCGGTTGAGTTCATGGCACTTTGCAAAAGGAAGGAACTAGAAAGGAAACCGTTCTGTTCTTGGGCTGCAAAGTGTATTTCATTGACAAGAAAAGAAAATCTGGATTTTCTAAAATGTTTTGATGCTAAACAGAATGCTTATAATCTCAGATAATGTCATATAACACTGGTTCCTTCTCACTTATAAAAATTGTCCCCAATGGAATAGAAATTGATAACTAACTCCTTGTACCAACTTCAAATAAACCAAGATATAAAAGGTATAAAATAGCTCCCAGAAGGACCATGCTTTTGGAAGGAAGCAATTTGTAAACTCACATGCACTTGTCTTATATGAATATTTATAGCCACATACAGAATCGAAATGAAGCTAAAAGGGAAGGAACTCACTGTACAGAAGACAAAACAATACCCTTTTTATTTTTAAAACTCTGGTGAAATAGGTTTCCATATGACATCCCATTAAAAAAAAAATTAATGTAAACCAACCTGCCTGTGGGTTAGTCATACTGTACAGACTTCATCAGAGTGTTTACAGTTGCCTAAAGTATTTACAAATGCTATCCGTTAGGTAGTAAGGTTTTGTTGCAATTTTTCCAGCATGTATTCCGCAGTAAAATAAAGGGGGTATATTGGTGTTCTTGTATAAAAATTCTTAACAAATGGAGAAAGGGCAATTTTCCTGAGAGAAGATTTGTTCTTGAAATATTTTTCTTTAACAATTGGAAGTATAGAAATGGGATGTAGTTGTAAAAGAAGCAATAAGAATGTCTAAGTTAACATTTTTTCTTTTAAATTACTTTAAGTACCATTAAGTTAAATGTTTACATTCATTATAAAAATGCTGTTAAATCTTATGCAAATGATTTAACACTGATTGCTGCAACGCAAATTGCACTTTTTAAAAAAATTATTGTATACATGGAAGAAAAATATCTCACTTGCTACCCTGTTTACAAATCCCGACTGGCTTCAGATCAGTCACCCGACATGAACTTCGAGAAACCTCAGGCACAGTGTACGTTACAGTTACAACGCAGTCTCGCAAACTGAGTGATGTTCTGGACAAGAGACCTCACGCACAGGCGCAGCCTCCAGAGCTGTGTACCAAACAAATGGCCTCAAACGATCTTCTCCGTGAACGCATGTGAAATTTGGACGTGTGTCATGGTATTCTTCACAAAAAAAAGAAATTTGGATGTGGAAAAGGTACGAAGAAATTCTGAAATAACCAACATCAATCAGAAGAAGCACATGATTTGGGGCAATACACATAAAATCTTTTTTTTAAAAAAAAAAAAATCTCTCTCAATAGTCCTTAGCAGGCAAGGCCCTGGTCCCTGTCCAGGTTTCTGGAAGTGGCCCCGTGGTGAGCCCGAGGCAGGCTGGCTGGAGGTGGCCCTGGCTGAGGGAGGAGGAGACGTGCTGGTTCTCTGGCCCTTCCGGGGATCGGCTCCATCTTCTCTTGCTGTTCTCAGCAAGCCTCTTGGGAAATACATCTCTTTCAAAATAAAGGCACAAAAATCACGTTCTGTCGGCACAGTCGCCACTGTCTGGACTGCCGGGCAAAGTCAGACCCAACCGCAGGGAGGCCCTCCCGCCTCCTGGCAGCGCGGGCTCAGGCCAGGGCCAGGGCGCACCAGGAATCCTGTCGCACGGAGGATGTGACTTCGGCCGGCGAGGCCAGGCTGACGCCTATGTAGAGCCCGTCCTGGCCTGAATACTTGAGCTCGCTGTTCTCGGGGTTGGCGCTCTCTCCCGCACCAGGCATCACCGGGGCACCCGCCTGGCAGAAAAAACAGGGGCCGAGAGAAGGAGAGAGAGAGACGGTTACACTCCTGCTAGGGAAACACGAGGGAACAAATGGTCGGTGCAGCAAGGCCCAAGCTGCTCCCGGGAGTCCCCAGTGAAAAAGCAGCGACGTCAGCACTACTGCTCCCGGGCCCCGGCAAGCAGGGGCTGTCCCGGTGTTGGGCAGTGCCACCGACCTCACCCTGGCCACTTAGAGACTTTAGAACTCATGGCAGTGACTGGACAAGGGAAAGGAGAACCAGAGGAATCCTCTTCGTCAAAAAGTTGCCAAACTCTAAGGTCTCTGACAGTGAAACAAACCACACCTCGTAGGTAAATGGGCGTTAATAATGCACCCACAGGCCGGGCGCGGTGGCTCACGCCTGCAATCCTAGCACTCTGGGAGGCCGAGGCGGGCGGATTGCTCAAGGTCGGGAATTCAAGACCAGCCTGAGCAAGAGCGAGACCCCATCTCTACTATAAATAGAAAGAAATTAATTGGCCAACTAATATATATAGAAAAAAGTAGCCAGGCATGGTGGCATGTGCCTGTAGTCCCAGCTACTCAGGAGGCTGAGGCAGGAGGATTGCTTGAGCCCAGGAGTTTGAGGTTGCTGTGAGCTAGGCTGACGCCACTGCACTCACTGTAGCCTGGGAGACTCTGTCTCAAAAAAAAAAAAAACATGCACCCCCAGTCTAATCATTTCAAAAGAGAAAATGCAGGCCGGGCGCGGTGGCTCACGCCTGTAATCCTAGCTCTCTGGGAGGCCGAGGCGGGCGGATTGCTCAAGGTCAGGAGTTCAAAACCAGCCTGAGCAAGAGCGAGACCCCGTCTCTACTATAAATAGAAAGAAACTAATTGGCCAACTGATATATATATAAAAAATTAGCCGGGCATGGTGGCGCATGCCTGTAGTCCCAGCTACTCGGGAGGCTGAGACAGAAGGATCGCTCGAGCCCAGGAGTCTGAGGTTGCTGTGAGCGAGGCTGACGCCACAGCACTCACGAGACTCTGTCTCAAAAAAAAAAAAAAAAAGAGAAAATGCAGAGCACTATACACACACACACACAATACACAGCCATCAGGCTTAGCGATGATGTCAAAGTCTAAAAAGGAAAGCTACACAGTTCAGCATTCCCTGATAAATGAAATATTTCGGCGCTGACTTCATGGAAAATAAACCCATGCCTATACCGGTTTTAATATCTACCTCATTTACCTTAATTCTTTACAAGAACAGGCTCTGTTTGAAACAGACCACATTACAAAGAAAATGCTAACATCCTCTATCTGTCAGGATTGGGGCAATTATTAATATTTCTGGAAGCACAAGTTCACCTTTCCCCTGTTTCATTCATTCCTTCCATCCAAACAAAAAAGGCCAAATACAAAACATTACATAATTTAGTAGAATCAAACCAAAATAACCAAAATCTGTTTAGACTACAGTTTGGAAAATCGTTTGCTTTTGAAAGATGTCCTGAAAAGTCTAGCCACAATCGTGTACTTTTTCATCCCCTTTTCCTTCTGAAAGCTCGGAATCCCCCTTATTTCTCCCAGGCTTTCAGAGTTCCATTCCATAAGTTACTGAATCCTTGTTATTTGACAGAGAAAGAACATTTTGTATTTTTCAAGGAATTTCTTTTGCACTTCACAACCCCATTAAATCCTTAAAGCAGCCCTTTATCTGGCCGAGCCGAAGTCACACGGCCCTGAACGGACGTGGTGAGCCTCCAGGCCTGGGGTGAATGTGCTCCTACCCTTCTCCTTTTCCCAACAGGATCCGCTTTGCTCCTTAACCCTCCCAACAACTGCATGAAACTGGGAGGCAGAGCTTCAGGAGAGCTACCCCAGCAGGTCCTATGACCCATCCAAACTTTTCCCCAACTGGACAGCCCACGCCTGGCCCCTCCACGGGCAACCAGTCCTTCTCTTTCCTGACAAAAATGAGGGTTTCTGAAAGTCCAGCAACAACAGCAGCCCCAAACTTTCGTTTAAATAACACGGAACATAAAGGCTTTCGTGTTATTTAAACACAAACTGAGGGCTTTCGGTGCATAAAAAAGCAAATTTTCTGAAGTTGAAAACGGATTCTTGTGAAAATTTTGAAATAGCTGAAATAATCCTGTCAAGCCAACAGAATGCTATAGATTTGGTCGTACTTATAAACATGGTGATTAACTTTAGCCCTTAATTCCAGAACTTCTATTATAAGCAAATCCAGTGTGGATCCAGATTTAACACTCAAAGAAATAAACGAAAGGATGAATTGTTTGTTTTAGAAAGGAACTAGTATACCATTGGAAGAGTGGGTTCCTTTAACGATTTATGTCAGCCAACTCTGCATGGATCTGCCTACTCCAAAAAAAGGGCACATCTGCGTGTGTCTGACCACATGGGACTTCGCGGCAGGCAAGTGTCATTTTCTGAAACGCAGAGGGTGCCCGGGCTGGCTCATGAAGCAGCCGCCTCAAATGGCCAGGGGGTGCTGAGACAGCGAAAGGGTCTGTCACGACCACCGCCACCAAGAAACATCAGCAAAGCAGCAACTGAGAGCCGGAGACCAGAGCTAGAACCCTGAGCTCGTCACTGTCCCTGAGGAGCTGCCGGGAAGGTGGGGAGCCAGGACTCACACCTGCTGGGAAGTAGGCCGTTCAGCTGCCCATTGCGGATGAGACAGGGTCGATGAGCGAGAGTCAGAAAAGGAACTGCAGAAAGGCAAGGATTCCTGGCAAGCGCGCAGAGCGGGCTGCATGGCGGGGACTCGGAAGTCCCATCCCGGCTCAGTCACCTCCTGAGTCTCCTCCTCTGCGCACTGCTCAGCACATCACCCACCTCAGGTGTGGTTGTGACACAAATGAGCTAGTGTTTGCAGAAGCGTCAGCATGATGGCTTGCCATGGTAAACATTCCAGAAAGGGAAGCTGTTGTTACTGGCGAGAAAAGGGTGTTCGCGATGAGAGGCAGGCCGCGGGAGGTGGAGAGGCGGCGGCCTGGCCTGTTCAGAAGAAACCCCGGCCGAGACGGAAGAGCGTTAAGCAAAGGGGTGAAGAAAGACCGTGTGAGAGAGGTAAACTAGAAGGCTTGACGTCAAACTTTGTGTGCCTCAGTTTCCTCACCTATAAAATGGAAATAAAATGAGGCACCTATGTCATGAGGCTGTTGCAAGAATCAAATTAGCTAATATATATAAAGCCCTTGTATCAGTGTTTGAGAATACTCGTGAGCTACTCTTGTTATTTTATTATTATTATTCTTAAGGGCTAGATGACAGGACCCATTTTATTTTCCACCATTCATTCATCAGCCCAGGCAAGTTACTGCCATCACAGGGCAGGAACAGGAGCAGTGGGGACTAAGCTAAGTGACAACTGCCTCCAGGGAGATCCATTTGAAGCTGTCACTGACAGCTCTTCATAAAGAGAAACCAAGACACTTCCAAGGCCATTCAAAAGGCTCGCTGGCCCTTTTCAAACAAGCCACATTAAAGAAAGGTCAATCCCTTGAATACTATTCTTACACCTGAGCAATAATCCCAGGAGCCATTGGCTAAAATAATTCCTGTCTTCCTTCCTCATTCAAAATGTTCAGCTATATGGCAGGCCAAGAGTCCTACTGTCAAAGGGCAGACAAACTGACAGGAGTGATGTGCTCCTGAAAAAATATCAGCTCATTTGCAATTAAAAACGGTCGAGTCTATCACAGAATAAAATGGGACAGCCGTGAGCCTGACTTTTTTTTTTTTTTTGAGACAGAGTCTTGCTTTGTTGTCCAGGCTAGAGTGAGTGCCGTGGCGTCAGCCTAGCTCACAGCAACCTCAAACTCCTGGGCTCAAGCGATCCTGCTGCCTCAGCCTCCTGAGTAGCTGGGACTACAGGCATGAGCCACCATGCCTGGCTAATTTTTTCTATATATATTAGCTGGCCAATTAATTTCTTTCTATTTATAGTAGAGATGGGGGTCTCACTCTTGCTGAGGCTGGTTTTGAACTCCTGACCTCGAGCAATCCACCCACCTCGGCCTCCCAGAGTGCTAGGATTACAGGGCCACCATGCCCGGCCGAGAGCCTGACTTTTACATGGGGATAGAATAATATTTAAACATGAAATAGTGCAAAGAATAAAATGTATGATACTACAAAAGGCTGCCATTAAGTGGTAACACCGGTCCCTTCACCCACGACTGGTGTAGCTGTATTCTGGTACACACGTCTTCCAAAGAGCAGTCAGCCATTGTGTCTAGAGCCATCTAGAAGTTTAGGCCCTGGTTAGCCCTATAATTTCACTTTTGGAAATGTATTATAAGGAAATAATTCAAAAGAAGGGAAAGGCTCCACAAAGGAAGCCATCCATTGCAGGGTTCCTTGATAATAGTGGAAACCATGGAAACAATCTCATGTCTAATAATATGGGAATGGCTTGGAAAAGGAGGGCACATCCGCTCAATGAATTATTATGCAATTATTAAAAACAACAAGATTATGTAGCAAAATGGAAAAAATCCTGTAATAATGTTAAGTGAAAAACACCAAGACATAAATTCTATGTCATAATTACAATTTATCCATGTACATTACAAAAGCCCCCAGGAGGGGGGTGGGAGACAGAGGACCAACCAACAGGACAAGTCTGTTAGCCAACTATACCTTTCTTTGGATATTTTTCTGTGAATACTTTAACTGAAAGGCACAGTAAAATCTAACTTTGGGGATGAACAGAAAATGTTAGTACCAGAAACACACACGAGGCACAAGCACTTGAGGAGCGAGCCAGCTTGGACAGGATCAAAGAGTAGCTTGAAAAAAGAGGGAGGCATCAGGAGGGAGGGTGAGAGGGGCCCCCAGGCACTCCTGGAATCATCTCCCTGCCACCTGGCATAGGCCGGGGCCTGGCCACCTATGCACATGTGAAACACGCTGCTCTATACAAACTTAAACGCTGAACACATTATCTCAATGCATCAGGGTAACTTAAGCTCTCAAAACTGGTATTCTAACCATAGAGGAGTTTAGTTAGAACTGGCACCACCCCCCTCCTTAAGAAACCTGGCTTGTCATACCATGGTGCACCTTAAGTCCCTTTTCCCCACTGGTGATATTCAAGAGCTACCTATTGAGAATCAGTATGATTTGGGGGGGAAAAAAAATCAAGACAATTTATGATGGCCCTGGACCCAATGGACACACAAAAAACATAAGAATAAATGTCAATGGATTAATATATTTTCCCACATCTAACTCAATCCTTCAAAGGACTTCAGTTCGGGTCACAGGTATCTCAGGTATCTCGACACAGCAAAAGCAGGCACTTCACGAAGCTAAACCAACCTAAATAAATGCTCCTGAACAAAAGTGGAGGAGAGAGCTTCGGAATGCCCGCAGCTTAGCCATCCTTCCTCCTTTCGGCAGGCAGCTGGGGCCAGGCGGAGGTCCTCGCTCTCTCTCTCTCTCTGATCAAAGTGCAATATGAGGGTGGAGCAGAAATCTGCTCTGTGTTTCCATTCACGGCTTATCTGCCCTCCGCCCTCCCACAGACAACTGAAAATGGAGGCACTTCCTGTTGAAAGAATGTGTTATCAGCGCCAGCCCCAGCCCCGGCTTAGCACTGAAAGCAGGCCAGGTTAGGTGGGAGACGGGCAGGGTGGCCGGGCTGGAAAGCTCCCTCCTAAAGGAATAGATGACTTCACGGAAAACTGGGGCTGCTGCTTGCGGATTGGGACATGGAAACCATCCACCAGGATGTGAAGTGGGCCCCGGCCATGCTTACATCACCCAGATTTTTTTTTTTCCTGTGAGAAGAAGCCTTTGCTTATTTTTGGACACATATCCAAACAGTCAAAGATTTCTGATTGGACAAACTCTCATGCAGACGAACGCCCAGCAGAGCAGAGAGTCTGGCTCAGAATGGGCTACCCAACAATATTCTTCTTTCTCTTTCTTTTCCTCCATTTCACATGTCCCCCAGTGGGGAGAGCTGGAGACAGCCTCTGATGGGGGATGCCCACGTAGAGACAGCTCCAGAAAGGAGACAGAGCAGAGCAAAGGGCACAGCCTTTTCAGGAGAACAACACGGGTTCTCTGGCTTGTGAGTGATGTGCATAAATTTCATTTTTGAGTACGAAAACCAAAAAAAGAGTTAGGTATTACAGCACTCAATCCTCTGTGCTACGCAGTCTCCCTCCGTGCAGTCCTGATCTGAAGAAAGAAAACACTGCACCCCGGGCAGGTTGAAGGGTGAGTGTGTGATCATTCCGAGAGCATGAGGCTTTGATGGTGACCATAATGCCTCCTTAGCTCCAAGTCGGACTGCGGCTTCCACCGCCTCTGATCTGTCCTTCCTACACGTCTCAGTGCGTTTGCGGTTACGGTTTTTTCTCCTGTGAGGGGAAGCCAGCCGTCCCCCACTGCCAAAGCTCCTCTCTGCTTTTGTAACCTCTAGGTTAGACTCCTGCGGTGCTTTATAGCTGCCTTCCTCCAAAGAAAAACGTAAAACCATGCATAAATTCTAACAAAGGGGAACCACTTTCATGCAAATCTTAACTTCAACTATAAAAACAGTGCTGGCTTCATAGTTTAGACAGAGGTAACATAGGACCAGACACAGCAGTGACTCGGTAACAGTTAAGAAGGTGACACATGAAAGATGATAAATGACCACACATAGATTCTGTCTCCACCAGGGCACGTGAAAATCAATCACAGGGAAACCCCCAAATTCTCCCATTACACCATCATGAACAAGAGAACACAAGCACTTTCTGTCCCATGGGAGAGGTATCGTCCCCTCAAATGATGCCCTAACTCAATTTTCAGCAGAATAGCTTTGTTGTTTATTTTTTTTAATTTTTTTAAAAAAAATTCCTTACTGGGAATTTCACTGGCTGCTGCAACCCCTACTACCCCTCTGGCTTCTTGAGGACCTGAGGCCAGTTATATCCACACCAAGAGATGCTGCCCTTTTCAAGAAGGGGAAAGCAACCCTATATACACAATCTATTCTGGGCAAAGGAGCAAATTGTTTTATGCATCTGTGCACACTCAAACAGCAAGCATGTTACGGTGAAGAAAGGCATCCCTCGAAGTTTATAAGTACTCTGGGACTATCAGTAAAATACCCATGTACAAATACAAATTGCAAGGCGGAGGGTTTGTCCTACAACTTGAAGTCAATGAGCACACTAAAGAAGAAGCTTGTCTTCTGAAACGAATCAGAATGGACTGCTCTAGTCTAATCTTCAAATTAAGTGGTAAAGGATCCCGACACAAGATTTTAAAACCTGGTGAATAACGATCTTAATTTTTATAACAAAATTGGCTCTTCTAGGAGTTGGATAGGGCATCTTAATTTCTCTACCTCAATTAGAGAGGGCATCCCATGGTCAAAGAACCAAGCAGCATTTACAATGCCCTTAAAACCTCAGAAAGTATTATTAAAGTACTAGGCATTAGAAGGAATGAAAAACTGTTGCTATCTGAGGAATAAAAATCTTTAAACTGTGGTTACTTTCTTAACACAATGACTCTAACATCTCGAAATTTCTGCATTAGGAAAGTAAGGATCTATTTCTAATGTCTTAGGAAGAAAAAGAGAAATGCCTCGCAAATAAAGCTCATCACTATTACCCTCCAAGATTCTATTTAAGTAGTGCTATTCTTCGTGATCTTCAAAGAGGTCTCCAGGCATCTCCCACTTAATGCTACACAATATTCCTAAGGACCAGATGGTAGGAATTACTTTCCCCCTTAGTAGCAGGAGGAAAACAGAGGCTTTACAAACCCTTGGCAGCTCACGATACTCACACAGACAGAGCCGTGCTAGCGCCTAGATGCCTGAATCTGGTTCCTTCCAGTTGCTAATCTGTGAGCCCCCAGAATAAACTTTTGACCATATTCAGACTTCACCACGAGTCAAGCCACTAAATTTAATGAGAGCTTTAAATGTAAAGTATTTGTGTTTAATAAAATAAAAATATGATTCTGGAGCATGTGCCCCAGCTCTGGTGAAACCGTGCCAGGCCAAGAAGCAAAACGGCAGCAAACGATCAAGTGAATCAGCACTTAGACACTGACTTGGAATTCTATTTACTCACAAGACCCCAACAGGACATTAAAGTCAATGCCTTGCTGTGTATTTGTTCAAATCGTTCTTAAAATCTGATGTCAATAAAGTAATCTCTTTTTGCTCATTCTCACAAATTCTGAGTACTTGGCCTTCATAAAGCCTGATATGACAGGTAGCTGAATTACGAACTGTCACATTGCCGACACCTGTCTTTGGAGCTGCTTTTATAAATTATTAAAATTTCAGAGAAAATGGCAGTTCATTTCTCCATCGGCCAGGAAGGACGTGTTGAGGTAGGCATACCGGTCAAGGACAGTAACTACCATGGCTTCTGGCACTTTGGCGAAACCTCAGATGTGTGGCCTCCTGGCCAGACGTCTGCGGATTCATATTGTTGGAGCATTCATAGTATCCCTGGGAGTTGCAACCTTGTATAAGTTTGGTGTGGCTGAACCAAGAAAGAAGGCATATGCAGATTTCTACAGAAATTATGATTCTGTGAAAGATTTTGAGGAGATGAGGAAGGCTGGCATCTTTCAGAGTGCAAAGTGAATTTGGAACATAAAAGAATTTCTTGACCTGTGTTCCTGAGCTATGAATATGTAGGCTGACGAGTGGTTTCTCTTGATAAATAAACCATTAATAAATACTGTGAAAAAAAAATTTCAGAGAAAATGAGCAGGTAGGTCTAAACATGAACAGAGCTAACAAATTGTATTTAATTCATATCCATTGAATCTTCATATTGCTAGTAACTCTTTTGGCAGACACCCATGAAATGCATAATAAATTGCTTTTGTTCCAGTAAAGGAATTCGTTTTCTTCGAAGATTCATTTAGCAGTAACCTTTCAGAGCATTGTAAACCAGATTTCTTAAATTTGGCCTTGTTTTCCCGTAACATTATTTAATGTTTTTTGACAATTTTGTATATTCTTATAGAGGTGGGGGGGGATTGCAAAAAAAATCTGTAATTTGCAAAGAGAAGTTGTGTTCTGGGATGGGGCCGTATGAAATGGTCTTTGGAGGCCAACACGCTTCTGCTTACACTTATTCTTTACCCAGTGCTCAGATAGCCGGAGGGCTATCAGATTGTCAATAATGAGTCACTTATTAATAAACCACAGTTCTATGATAAATTGGGTGGATGTAAATGTTACAAACTATTTCAAGAGCAATATAGTTTTACTGTTTCCTATTATACATACAAAAGCATTGGATAGTAATGTAGCATAATGTATTTTCTAACTACCCCTTAACCATTCCCCCTTCTCTTTCTCTCTCTCTCTCTCTCTGACTCACACACACACACACACACACACACACACACACACACACGGGAAGTCTTGAAAAAGCCTTGAAATCAAAATGAAAGTATGCAAACTCCGCATGGTGGCGTGTGACTTTCACTGGAAGGCCAATGTGGTCAGACAGGAACGTGAGTTATTAGAAGGGGCTGTGAACAAAGAAAGAAAGGGAGCCTGGCACACAGCGAGCGTGAAGATAAAATGCCAACAAAATATTTATGTTCGTGGCTTGTAGCATGTGGCAAGTGGGATATTAATAACTGTGATGATTGGTCAACTCCCTGGGAGTGGTAACAGCCCTGGACTGGGAGGCAGGAGACGTCGGTTCCAGTCTCGGCTTCAACACTGGCTTGTTTTGTGACCTTATGGAGTCACTCCGGACCCCGGTTTATAAATGAGGCAATAATAATACCTAACCGCAACTCTCTCACAGGCCCTTGTGGGAGATTAATGTTTTTTTTAACTCTTTTTTTACTCATTTAGAAAAGAGCGTTTTGGACGATAGACTCTGAAAAAAAAAAAAATATGGGCCCTTGCCTACTAACAAATGCTTTTTTTAATGATTTCATAAAAATGAATAGAAAGCAATTCAAACATTCTGAAAAGTTCCAAAACTTTGCACTCACTTAGGTGTGGGTTCAAATCACACCATTAGGAGGACTTTAGTACTGTGATCTTGTATTTGATATTTTTTTAAAACCTTGCAAATATGAAGGGTTTTTAAATGCAGCATCTACGTTATAAACACATTAGATACATCAACAGTAAATTTTTGCTGTGATTTTTCCTAATAGTACCCAACTGCCATGTTCATAGTACTATAATACATTTTTTTCTAAGTATAATATTGATAAGAAAATTTGCATTAAGTGCCTTACGCACATACTTGGTCATGAACAAATCACTTCTCCAGCACTGTTTTCCCATGTGTTTCAAGTGGGAGGATATTTGATGCTGAAATCACTAATCAAGATAAGAAAACATTATTTCCTCTCTAAAGATTTCAAAGAGATGAACCAACATCACATACTAACCTAGCATGTCGTAGCGGTAACAACATTGACTCTGCATCAGCCAGAACTGGGGCCGGCTCGAAGCCCCGCCTCTTAGTTTGTTTGACGCATGACATCGGGCCTGTTCCTTACTTTCCGAGTCCCACTCGGGAGGATTAAAAAGGAAAATGTTCCTGAAGCACCTGGCACACAAGGCACTTGATAGAAACTACTAGTTTCCTGCCCCCCTATGTCTACTACTTATAAGAAAGAAAGAATTAGAAAGGGAGGACGCTTCCCAAATGCAAGAGCCCGGCAATAAAACTCAAGACCGATCCACCATTGCTCGGCTCTCAAGTGCTCTAAAGCCTCTTGTGGAATATTCAAGGTAACAGTGAAGCAGGAATTCTCTGCCCCAGTCCCAGCATGACAGTGTCCCTTCATAGTCAAGCTCCTCTGAGTGAAAGGAACTTACACAGTAAGCACAACACAAGTCCTTCATGAACGTACCCTCAGCTTTTTAATAGGGAAAAAAACACTGTGGAGTATAAGTCTGCTAATAAAGAATTCCCCCTCCACTGAAAAATGCATAGCAAGCTGCAGGACTAAAGTGGTGTTTTTCAATTTTCGCCATAGGATGCAAATTGTATACAAAAAATAAAATCTAGAAAAAGAATTTTAAATATTGACCTGCCTAAGCTTTCTTCTAAAATCCTTGTAAGTTTTTTAAATAATTTTTTAATTCTTTTTTAGAGACAAGTTCTCCATATGCTGCCCAGGCTAGATTCGCACTCCACCCCACTTCAGCCTCCCAAGTACCTGGGACTACACGCCGGCACCACCAGCCCCCAGAGGCCTTATAAAGCACATTGTCGATCCTAACAAGTGTCAGTCCCTAGGTCACTGCTGTTGGCTATCAGTACTTAGGGGTGTGCAGTAACTCTTTCCAACCACCATGAAGCTCAGAAGTTCGTACAGTAGGGAAAGGTCTTAGGAAAGGCCTTGCTGGGCGTGTAGTGTCCCAGAAGCACACATGGGACAAGAATGGTAACAATTTAATACCAAGAAACTGACCATTCAAAGAGTGGCTAAGGCCCACCACCCTCAAAGGCACAGACCAGCCAGTGATGAATCTGAGATTAAGTCTACCTCGGGGCCGGGCGTGGTGGCTCACGCCTGTAATCCTAGCACTCTGGAAGGCCGAGGTGGGCAGATTGCTCCCGAGGTCAGGAGTTCAAAACCAGCCTGAGCAAGAGCGAGATCCCCCCTCCCCGTCTCTACTATAAATAGAAAGAAATTAATTGGCCAACTAATATATATAGAAAAAGTTTAGCTGGGCATGGTGGCACATGCCTGTAGTCCCAGCTACTCAGGAGGCTGAGGCAGGAGAGGATCGCTTGAGCCCAGGAGTTTGAGGTTGCTGTGAGCTAGGCTGACACCACGGCACTCACTCTAGCCTGGGCAACAAAGTGAGACTCTGTCTCAAAAAAAAAAAAAAAAAAAGTCTATCTCGGACTAAGAACGTCCACATCCCTCTTTATGGATGTTGTGTATCACCAACAATGAACCCATGAAGGTGAGGAAACTTACTTTCTATCACTAACACTCCATACAGGAGAAGTCACGGGGCAGCCACCCCAACCAGCCTGCCCCAAGAAGCCCTGGAGAAAGAGAGACCACAGTGCAGGCCGCAAGGGCCTATGGTCATCGAATATAATCAGCTCCAAGGAGATATTTTTTTCCCTACTAAATGTAAGGAGGAAACCTCACTTGTAAAATGGTCAAGCAGGAGCATGCTAGCGTTTGTTTACATCAATTACCAAATGCAGCACTCCCAATTAAGAATGTTTTAATTGCTGGACTCTAGCATTACAGACAGAAAACACATTTGTCACCGAAGGAGTTAGATAAAGTCCATCCCGGTGTCTGTGCCTTGCTTAAGGCCGACTCGATATCGATTTGAAATATTTGCGAATGTCTACTTTCCACCCTTTTACCAGCCTCATTTACTGCACCTATGCTCTGACCACATTGAACTCCCGGTTTCCCTTCAGTACCAGAGATTTCCCTGTTGTTTCTCAATTTTTCTCCTGCAAAAAAATCCCACCCACCAGTTCAAATTTCCTCCACCCTATGAAGCTATTTCCAAGTCTACTTGTCACTCATTTGAAACTTTTTCAAACCTGACAATGTAACATCCATGTCGATACCTGGCCCACCACCACTACCACACAACAATTTCAGGTCTGGGACCTTGTTTTTCTCAAGTATATAAACAGCCCCTGCCATGAAGCATTGCTTCTTAAATGGAACAACAGCCAGCAAAGCCAGGGCTAGTCAGGTATAGCTCATCTCCATTTACTTTCATATTTTATGGTTAATAGTAACTTCAACATTATATTGGCAGTTTTAATATTGACGTAAGTATTAATTAATAGTATTAATTTTGGGGCCAGGCAAGGTGGCTCACGCTTGCAACCCTAGCACTCTGTGAGGCCAATGTAGGAGGATTGCTTGAGGTCAGGACTTTGAGACCAGCCTAAGCAAGAGCAAGATACACTGTCTCTACAAAAAATAAAAAAGTCATCCAGGCATGGTGGTGTGTGTCTGTAGTCTCACTAAAGTTTTAAGTAATTATTTATAGAAACACTACTTTAAGACAAGCAAAATAGTTCAACGATTCCTTATTCTCAGACATTGTTTTAGTGCTAATTTCATCCCCAGATTAATCTCTCCTAGCCAAAAGGAAACTTTTTTTAAAAAACTTTTCATCTATAAAATTTGGGAATTGAGCTATATAAAGCGTCCTCCAGTTTTGTGATTTTTGAGTTATAGGAAGAGTTACAGGAGGAATAGGACCATTTATGGACTTATTAAGTCTTACTTGAGAATTGCTGAAATAGAACATGTTATTGTGTTTTTCTCCAAATAACAACAAAAAAAAACCTAGAAAATATTACTCAACCTTCTCTAATATTTTGAAATAAAAATTATTTTAAAAATATAACTCAGTCAATAAATGGAATTCAAGAAAAAATATTTTAATATTCTTACAATCCATGGAGAACAAATGCCAAAGAAAATTTAGGTCAGTAAATCTACACGTATAAGAAAATTTTTAGGTCGGGCGTGGTGGCTCACTCACGCCTGTAATCCTAGCACTCTGGGAGGCCGAGGCAGGTGGATTGCTAGAGGTCAGGAGTTCAAAACCAGTCTGAGCAAGAGCGAGACCCCGTCTCTACTATAAATAGAAAGAAATTAATTGGCCAACTAAACATATATATATATATATATATATATATATATATATATATTTTAGCTGGGCATGGTGGCGCATGCCTGTAGTCCCAGCTACTCAGGAGGCTGAGGCAGGAGGATCGCTTGAGCCCAAGAGTTCGAGGTTGCTGTGAGCTAAGGTGACGCCACAGTCCTCTAGCCTGGGCAACAAAAAAAGTGAGACTCTGTCTCAAAAAAAAAAAAAAAAGAAAGAAAGAAAGAAAATGTTTAACCAGAATGAAAGGCTATTTTTGTCACAGAAATTAACCAACTGCCGATCAAAAATTAAGTTCAACATATTTTTTAATAAACACAAAGAATCCCAAAGGAACAAAATAGGCAATACTTCAATTCCAGGACTGCATGCCGGGAGTCTTGCTAATCTCAGACAGAAACTCACTGCCCTCCCGCCACCTTCCACAAGCACACAGCCCACGACCAAGACAGAGTCACAGGGAGGAGGCCACGTCATCCACATGATGACTCTCACCAGAAGGAAAGACTCCTTTTTTCCCAGACAGGTCTCATGAAAGCACAAATTAGCAACAAGTATACAAAGCTCAGACACGCAAAAAGTCAATGAGGCTTCAGAGTAGGGCAGGAATAGTTTTTGTGGCACTTTGACACTTATCCCAGAAGAATGCTGCATACCAGGATCCTGCCCACACCTCCATTCCTGCTGGGGAGGTGAGCCGGAGCCCCCACTGCGGGAGCACACTACTGACAGCCCCTTCCAGAACATTCAGCTCCTGCGGTCCCCGGAACCCCCACCAAGAAAGCTCAGGAACCTGGTGCCAGCCATGCCTGGGTCCTGGTGCCACCCAGTAGAAACACTGCTCCTGTCATGCGGTAGGACTTTTAAAAAGCCTGCTGGGAATGCCTACTGGTAGTCACCTACAGCTGATTTTTCCAGGGGGAATTAAGATAAAGATCAAGTTTGATATGAACCTCTGAAACAGTTCTGAACTTCCCTGCTGTAGCTCACAATCATTAAAGCTAGGCAGTTATGTTGCTACTTAACATTTCTAAATGGAGGAATGTGTGGCCTCACTCTTCAACTGGGAGCATGCCTGAGATTGTCCTCTGTTTTGTAGCTCAGTTGCCCCATTAAACAAGGGTAGCCTTACACTGCTCATTTCTACCAGTCAGCGACGGGAGCACTGGAGACCACAGCGTGGATGCGTTATCTTAGGAGGCTTAAACTCCACGCTAAGGAAGGTGCTGTGTAATACATACACTTTCTAAACACCAGACACAACCTTGCTATGTGGATCTGATATTTTCTTCACCTACAGCATTTCACAAAATTTGTAGGCAATCAGTTACAAAGCCAGCTGCCCACCAACATCATGCACTGTGACCAAAATGGGAAAATGACACACCTTTGTCAACACAGCTACCTTTTAAAAATGCTTCTGCCAGCTGCTCACAGATGGCTCCTCCAGCAAACTCTTCACGGCTACTCAGCTGCCACTTTGGCCAGGCCACATGCATGAAGGCTCAGCCCACCCAGAGAAGACACTGGGAAGTGCTAAAAGGACCCATGGGCATACACAGGTACTCCCTGGTAACAACCTGGGGAAACCACTCAAGTCTACCACAATCATTCTTAGGGTGGGACAGTTTCCAGAGGAAGCCAGCAGATGGGCTTCTGTCAAGGAGGCCTGATTCCAACACACACGTCAGGCAGGGGCTCATGGAAACATCCATGATGGTATGGACACATCCATGACAGAGTTACCATGGTGGGGGGCAGAAACCTGCAAGCCCAGGTGGCAGCCATGTGCCCTGGGGAGAGGTGAGGAGGAGTGGGTCTCTAGGATTGAGCAGGTGAGGCAGCCAGACCAGCAACAAACCCCGCCCCCCCAAAAAGGGGCGCAGCCTTGTCACCAAGAGCCCCACCCCCACACACACCTCCCTCACCCCCCACCCCCGGCTGCAGCACACACACCAGCCACAACTGGCTCCTGGACCCCAACCAGCAAGCCCTGGACCAGCTGTGGAACTCTCGAGGCGCCCCCTCCAGCCAGACCGGGCGGCCTTTTTACTCTTCTTTATCTGGAGGGCAACTGATAGGACTTGCTAATAGCGAATTTGGGAATTTTACATCACAAAACCACTAGAGCAAAACTAACCCCACCCACAAAAGTTCCAAGTCCGCAAAGCCCATTGTTAGGCAAATAATCTCTACTTCAGTGCCAGTTCTCATTCAAATTAGGTTTTTGCTTCTCTTAACTTGGATGTGTCACCAAAAAAAGAGCGGGAGAGGGCAACAATCCTCATTTCAGCTGGGACAGATGCGGGCGCTGAGGACACACACCTGGCTGCTCCTTCCATGCTCTGGAAAACCCAGACCCTATTCTGGCTCACTTAGCTACATAATTGCCTCTGAGGACTAATGCATAATAAAGAATATCTTAAAATTTTGATCTTTTCATTTCCCCACAAGTAACACATTCTATTTACCACCTTAGACCCTGAAAGTTACATCCCACCCACCTGTAAGAAAAAAATCATATACCAGAATCCAACTTTAAAAAGACTAGAAACATTCTTTAACTGTATCTGTAACAGACAAAAACAACTAAATGGCTTTTTCCTTTGTGAAACTCTGAACAGACGTCTTGTTCCATTACAGAAAAAGTGCAAAAGAATTTGGTCGGAGGACAAAGAGAAGCACAGTTCAAATATTTTCTTTTAAATATTTAATTTTTGTTTGTTAAACCCAGTAAAAATACAATGCAAAGAAACCAGGTCTGTGCTTCCCAAACACCTCCAGGGCAGCAGTTTCAATTTCACCTGGGGCGCTTGTTCAAAAATACTAATTTCCAAGCCCCACCCTCAGAGACTCTGACTCAGAAAACCCAGGGTGGGGCCCAGGAATCTGTAGTATTTTAAAGTACCCCAAATAGTTCCAATGCAAAACTAAATGTAGAAAACAATCACTAAGTAAATAGGGATTCAAATGCTAGCGTTTAGTCTCCTAGGCTAGTCTCCGCGTAAACCTAAAAATCACCAGGGCACATTTTTAAAATCCTGCTTCCCCAGGGGCCCTGCCCTAGGCTCACCAAGGTCTAAGGTGGGGCCCAGCAATTTTTTTCAAGAGCATTCCAGGTAAATTTGGGAAACACTAGGGAGGGAAAATGCTCTTTAGCTGAGGCAAACTGAGTTTCAATCACAGCTTTACAAAAACTGTGATCTTCACAAAGACCCTGGCATCTCCTGTCTACAGGGGCACAAATCGCTGCCAGGTTTGTCATGTGGCTGAAAATAAACCCCAGAACAATTAAGGTGCATGGGAAGACAAGAAGGTCTCCCAGCAAGAGCACAATTGGGAGAAGAAAAAAAAAAATCACTGAATACTGCAGCACATAACACTTTATGGGTTTTGCTTTGGATTAAAAAAAAAAAAAAAAAGGAAGAAGAAAAGGAAAGCTGGAGTTGATGTTATAAGCAAAACCAACTTAATGTCATGGACACTGGAACCTATGAAACCACTGGCCTTTAGCTTTTCTGATCTATATTAGAAATACACATATACATACATACATAGCAGCTCTAATAAAAACCTGGAAATAAAACAATTTAAAGCTCTTTAAAACCAAAACTTCTTGCTTTTACTTGGGTTAATTTAACCATAAAAACGATATCGATCTTAATTAAGAGGTTTGTAAAGTACTTCAGTTTGTCATTTTGTTGACATTTAAATGTAATTTCCTCTAAAAACTATTCTTAGGTATCAGCTAACTAAACTGAACTGTTGGTTTAGACTATTGTACTACCAGATAAGATAAAATTTGAGATAATTTACTAGAGAGCAACTCACTAACTTAGAAGGAGTCTACATTGTTTCAACACTTACCCCTGAGGCTGTAGGTTGTGTCGTAGGGGAAGTATTTTTGCTGCAATCATCTGAGTTTGAAGAGGTGGAAGTTGGAGTCATAGGAATGGAATTATTGCTATTACCTGCAACATTCAAAATGAACCTTATAAATATACATATACGCTACTGTTAAGACAGGCAAATACTTTAAAATCAAATGGCATTTTATTATATTTACCAGAGCAAGTCTTTGACTTATTTATGTTCTTAGGTTTTCGTTTCCTGGTTTGAATTCCCTCTTTTTTCATAGCCAGAGGTCGAGGCACCTAAAAAATTTTCACATAGGCCATAAGCTTAATCAATATTATACTGAAGAAAAACCAAACTCAAGATTCAACACTGGTACTGAAAGCCCCCATTTAAAAGAACTTGGTGTATTCCACAGATGTAGCCAAATAAATAAATAAATAAATAAATAAATAAATAAATAAAAAGAACTTGGTGTAAGTTTCAATCCAATTTTTATACACACTCAATAGATTCCAAGTGCACAAAGACTACACTTTCCCCATCAAATGTAGAGATTCTTTCAGGGGAAATGAGGTGATTTGCCAAGGAGAATTTAATTCCTTCAACTTAATGTTTATTGTTTAAAATGACTTCAATTATAGAGTATTTATTAAATAAGTATTTTTAAAGAGATCAAATATTCTGTTCCTCTGACGGATGCAAGGTTATTTTCTTTTTAAGATTCAGGTGTTTGTAATATTTTGTGCAACCTTTTAAAATGAAGTATGATTATTTGGAAACAGAATCTTTGAAAAAAAAGAAATGAAATGAAATCTTTCAAACTATAACTACCAAATATATTACTCCTTTGCACAAAAGTCTTTGATTACTTCTAGTTATTGCTCGCCTAGTTGATTTCTTTAACTGTTCAGGCTTACTACTATGTTATTAATTCTAAAATGAACATTTTCCACATTTTAACGTTTCTAAAATTGCAATGTGTCTTACAATGGATGTTTCTGATAGTCTAATTGGCAGCATTTTTTGTTTGTTTGTTTCTTACTGGTGCATAGTTTACGTTATAATTAATAGCACCATAGATTCAATAAAGTGGATATATTCCATATATATTGAATACAGAGTATAGTCAATAAAATATGCATTCAAATTTTTCACTTTAACACCCTTTCATTTGTCCAGTTTTCTAAACTGAAACCATGTACACACCAGACACTATGCATCTATGAGTGAGCAGAATAATCGACGCACCCCGTGCAGTTTCATGTACAGTCCACAGGCATTGCATACAGGTTCACCCTCGGCGTTTCTGCGCCATAAGGTGGTGGTTGTGGTATGACAGTTGGCACAGGACAATCCAAGCCGCCGTGACGAAGGCTAGAAACAGCACAACAATGCAAGTAGAAAAATAATAAATGATTTTTATGTATACTCGACATTCATACATTGATGTATCATGTCCCTGTCATCAACAAGCATGTGCCTGCTTAATTACATAAATGAAATGTTTCTTGAGAAAAAATTTCAAGTGTAATTAGGTTGACCTTCCTGGACCGAGAAACCTGAGGTTTGCAAAGTGTGCTTGATACCATACATTTGATTTGCTCTTCCAGAGCATCAGCACAGATTCTAGAATAACTGGAAAGCAGTCACACGGTTGGCTCATACTCCATGCAAAGCTTTTACCAGCACTGTAACACGGAGAGCCTCGCTCATGGTTTCTTCTCCAAGAATCTGTTTCTCAGTTACTACCGTTAATTTTTAAGGAGAATTAACACACTTTCTAAAAGTTGCCCAAATAGTTACATTCTGAAACATACAATTAGACTTCTCAAATTAAAGCCCCCCACCCGGTCCACGCACAGCAGTTGGCTGTGCACTGTTGTCACGGGTCTGAGATATAAGTCATGCAGTGCAATCACAAGCCACCTGCCAATGTGCTAAATGGCTTTGGGCAGTCTCCAATTCCCCTGAAAACTGGAGATAATCAGTTTTCTTAGATATGTGTAGAGGAATAAACCAGAAATGTTACCAGGGTCTGTATACATTAATGGAAATGGACTTAAGAAAGGTATAAAATTTTTGTAAAGAAATACATTTTAATACATTCCATAATTATCATTGTGACTGCCTACTTCCTGAATTTTTATTTTATACGTTTCACAAAAGGTACAAGCAAATTTCACAGCATTGCTTTAACACTGGCATTGTCTTATACACAGTGACACAAATATATTTTATTTGCTCCATCTGTTATGTTCTACTTTTGTTCATACTAAAGGTTAATTGTTATTACCGGGAAAAGTTACCTGTCAGGCACTATCACTCCCATTTCTGTCTTCTTTATGTCCATAACACCCTTAAAATAAATGTTTTCTCTAAATTACTGCATGTCAATTATAAAGAGTGAAAATTTAAGCTAGTATATAATTTCCTACCCCAAATGGCAAAATACAAAATTTGTTTTAAAATTACCAAATCTAAATTTTTTAAAAAAGTTGTTTTAAATTACTATAAAAATTGTGCTGCAACCTCAATAAAAAGTTTTCTGGGGAAAACTCAGGGACCCAAGCAAACTGAAAATTACAAAACTTGAGAAGAAAAGAAATTGTAAAGGAATAGAAAACAAAAATGTAAACTGAGCAGGTACTGAACATTCAGATTATAAGAGAGATTTCCAAAATCTTTGCCTGCAAATTTAGAAGAAGAAATTGAACTTTTCATTTATAGTTCATACCCTGTTACATTACTTTAGCATCACTCTTTACAGACAAATTAAAAAACAAAGAGATACTGCTAAACCTTTTAGCACTACAACATTTCTAAGAAGTCAGTGCTAACAATCAATTTGACTTTTGGTTGAAATGAATATGCTTGGCTGACAGAAGAACTACTTGGGAAATTGCTTTGCTAAATGATGAAAACATTAACAAAACCTTCCACATCAAGGCTTTTCTTTTTTCTCCTTATGGTTAAAATAAAATAATTTTCTAGGTGAGGGACAGGAAGGTTCATTAAACAGGCCATTTATGACAGTTTCCAGTGGAATTTAGAGCCAATGTGAAGCAAACTTGTTATCAGAATTTGCCATTATAACAAAGAACTTTATGACTGTCAACTGCAGATCATAAGTGAAGCCAGTCCTCATAAACATGTGAAATGCAGGTGAATGGGTTATAAAAGTTCCTTGTAACAAGTGATCTCAGTTATATTCCTCACTGACAAGGAATTCAAGTTACACCATAAATCTCTTATTTTGCAATGTATTACAAGTTCAGATTCACAGTGATTGGTTCTGTACTGCTAGCTAAACAAACTTGAGTTCAACATTCTGTTTCTGAGAACTAAGCTAGATCCATCAAAACCATAAATAAGAAGCCCACAAGGAGAACTAATTGATAGCAACACACCCTTCAATTGGTATCATTTATAACCCATTTACAAAGCATATTGGCTGACCTTGGTTACTGCCAAGACACCTGCCTCACAGGGAGAAAACTAATGAGTTCAGAAATGTTTAAAAAACCGCTTTCTTTCTGGGAAGTTATTTTTACGGGTAAGCGTACAAAACAAATAGCACTATCTAAATATGGATGTTATTAGATCAAATTTATAATGCAACTAGAACCTAAATGGCTATTATTCCAAATACCAGATTTTGCTCAATCTCAAGAAAAATGTTACCTTTTAGAGCTCAGCTAGTACCCAGCTCAATGTTGCCTTCCCCTCAAAATGGTAATAATCAGTTTCATTGTTCATGCATTCTCTAATACATGGAAACAAGGAACTGTGGAATATTTTCCAGCGACTTTTTCTTTTTTAATGTGATACATTTAAGAAAAATGAAAACCATAGAGAGTCACACGATGAAATTAAAGTGTGTCCTTTAAAGAAAATTTTAAGCTGTGGGAGGTTGTAACAAGCTTAAGGCACATACTCATTAAATTAACCTCGGCCACTTTATTTTAAATGCATTAAAAACAAAACAACCATAAAACTAATTGCTTCTCTTTAAGGTGTCAGACTTACATTGTGATGCAATTTCACTCTAATCTATTTAACACAAACAACGTGTATAGCATTTGTTCCTGCTAATTAGAGTATAACAATTAAATAAATTACTTGGATACTTAAGACGTCTGGCATCTAACTGTAAAATATTTAGCTTTAAAAGGTTATTAGATTATGAGTACTTGGCTAAACAAATGTTAGCCTTACAATGGGGTTTGTGAAAACTTTATTTTCTCTAATCACTACAGTGGTAAATACCCTCTCCTGCTAATAAGCACACTTAACAATGACAATAGGAGATAACTTTCTAGAAGAAAATCAGAACTCCCATACGAGCAAACATGGTCAAATGTGTCCAAATTGGTGAAAATTCTCAACTTGAGAGCATACAGACTACATGGTTTCTCAAGTTCTATGTAGTTCTCTCAACAACCAGATTGCAAAATAACAAGATTAAATTTTCAGCCTCAAGGGCAATCCAAAAGACATATGGAATTTGGGGCTAAACCTGTCCCTCTCCCGGGTAACAGACAGAAGGGACCAAGAAGCAGAAAGGACAAAGTGAAAGGGGCCCAGAATGAGGCTGTGACGAGGGCACGCGGGTGGGTGTGTTTCTGTCATATTCTATTTGAGGGGAATGTTCTAAGTGAGCGTGGTTTTTCGGGAATAAAATCCAAACCAGACCAAAGAGTACACAGTGAAAAAAATCTTCCTTCCCCTGGCCGCGGTCGGTCTACTCAGCTTTTCTCCCCAGAGGTTACCACCACTACCAATTTCTGGTGCGTTCTTCCAGAATTATCTCAGTGCATTGGCAAGTACATCTAGAGATGTGTAAATATAGATTTTTGAACTTTTAAAAAATGGTAGCACCTTCCCTTTTTTGTCATTTAGGGACATCCTTCCCTAAGTGCAAATACGGGGCAAGGCTGCCCTGGCTTCCCAGACGCGGGTTTCAGGGTGACCTCTGCTCGGGCGCCAGCCGGTGAGCGCTGGGGCCGGGCGGCCGGCGGGACCCACAGGGCAGGGCGACGCACCTGTCCCCGCGGGGCGCCCGGGGCTGGCCGCGGGGCAGGGCGGCGGTCACACTCACCACGCGCTTCTGCGGCTTGATGAGGGGCCGGCTGAGGCCGTTCATCTTGCTGTAGAGGCCGCAGGCGTTGCACAGGTAGTGGCCGGTGCCGTCCCGCCGCCACAGCGGCGTCTGGATGGAGCCGCAGTTCACGCACTCGCGACTCTCGGGCAGGTCCTCCAGCAGGTCTGCGGGAGAGCAGGGGACCGGGTGAGGCCGCGCGGGCCGCCCCTCCGCCTCCCCGCCGCACCCCAACACCCCAGACCCCGAACCCGCTGCCGCAGGCGCCTGTCCCGCTTCCCCGCCGCGCCCTTCCGCGCGGCGCTTTCCCGGCCGCGACGCCCGGAGCCCGGGTTTGCTTCGGTCGCTATTGATCTGCGGACCATTTGTCCGATACTCCGGCACCCCCAGGAGTGGGCGCCCCAGGAGAGACCTTGGGAAGGTCGGAGTCAGCGCTGAAAGCAGAGGACCTCAGGGGTCGGCTTGGTCCCCTGATCCCTACTCTCAGGCTCCCCCTGAGCTTTTTAAAACTGAAATCCATCAGAATTACAAGATGCCACTTGCCAACCCCCAGCCACACACTATTAACGCAGATCACTGACCCCCGCTGCAACCCACAAATGTCCCGGGACGCAGTGGGGATGCCTTATTTACTTTTGTCTCAAATAATTTTTAAAAGGTATTTTCTGTATCTGCCACCCTTCCTTATTCACCTTTTCTCCAATTTAAAATAGTCAAGTGAAATAAAAGTACCGTTCTTGGGAACTTACGATAATTAGAAATTATAAATGGGAAAATTACTCCGGTCTTCTCAGGTGGGAAAAAAAGCACTAACGTTATTAAGTACAGAGTTTAAGTTTTACTTTTTTGCCACGGGATCAAACACTAAATATTCTGATTTAGAAGTGTGTCTAATTGCTTCTAACTGCAAAGGTTTTACAAAAGGTTGACACTTTACTGATTGAGAAAATTACCAAGAACTTCCCAATGATAAATAATAGTCTTGAGTTTCCTACACTAAAATTTCAATTTATGCAATCTATTTAAACTTGTGTCTATTTTATATCATTTTTATTATTTGGTTAGTTTTTAGAATTCACAACTAACCTGAGCCTGCTAATAAAAACAAATTCTTAATTAAGAGTTCATGGTTCTATCATTTATTACTTTTCCTCAAGAAGGTTAAATAAGAATATCTATTCTCAAAAATGAGATAGGTTCTTATGTAGACTTTTTTAAAAAAATGTTTCCTAGGGTTCTTTGAGGGTGTAAATGTTCTAGTTTGGCATTCTTGAAAAAGCATTTCTGAATTACTTTTTAAAGTAAATACACATTACGCTTTAGAGTTTTTCTACTCCCACACATTCCCCTGCAATTCATAGCTTGTGCCTACCATCAACTGTGTGGTAAAGATATTTAAATATGACTTTAGCATAGAAACTCTTTAATTCCATCAATACTATTTACCCTACAAAACAAGTCTCTTTTCTCCTGATTTCTTGAGTTATGTCTTAAGTTTAAAAGAACCTAGCATCCTACACAACCCGAGTTCAAAGTTGTCATGGGGATATTGCAACTTACAACACATCACAAAGATTTATTCTTCTCCGCCCTAAAAGCCACTATTGACTACGGTAATCAGTAAAATGCTCAGGACTTCAAGGACGCTGAAGTTAAACAAGGTATTCGTCTTTGTTGTTGACTTTAAAATGTTACCTATCAGAGCCCCTCTGGATGGAGGAGTGGGGCGTTCCCTGGAAAACCCAGCCCTAAGCCTGGCCTCCTTCCTCTCTGCTGGGAACAATAAAGACGCCCAGGAGAAAACGGTGGCGTGAACCCCCAGGTAGAACTCTTTCTTCATCTGAAAACCCAAAGACAAAATTTCATTTAAAGTCCGCTTTGGGTAAACAAAATCTAGGAAGTTTGCTTATTTCTAATTGAAGAAAATCTCTCTCATTCCTTCCCTACCTCCCTCCCTCCCACCCCCACCAGGCAGCTACAATTCTATAACCAACTAAAATGGAAAAAAAAAAAAAGTTTTAGAAAAATTATAAAATCTGTGCTGAAAGCTTGTTCACCAAGCTCCCCTCATTCAGCTCATCATCCTTTTGTAACAGGGCTGCTGGGGTGCTGCTGCGGGTGACAGTTGGGGCGGGAGCTTAGGAGGGTGCAGCACCCAGGGAATAAAGAGCTGTGAGGACCTTGAGCTCACCCCATCCACCCCCAGGCAGGGAGAGGTATACTAAGTGGGTTTCTAGAAAAACCAAACTGTGCAGGTTGATAACGCTTAGCACTTGGGTTTTAGCCCTTGTGTTTGCTCAAATCAATTAAAGAGTCTGCCTCCAAAAAATGGTTTGTTTTGTTAAAAAAATCGAAGTGAAGAAACAGGAAATCTAGCTAGGAAGCTGGCATCAGAACACCTATGAGGACAGACAAAAATTAGGGTCACCCACCCCAAACACTGGCTTGGTCCCAGTGGCTTCCTGCTTTCCTAACAGACTTTTCATGCAAAATTGAGTGTTTCCAAATCCCTTCCCATATTTTTTTAAATGTACTCTGGGTCTACAGAAGATTTTTCTAACTGTGATGTCATGCCCAGAAGGTGAAACAAATCAAGGAAAGGACAGGCTCAGTTTAAAACAAAAAGAAACTTACTACTCGCCTGCAACTGTGCCATACAGCTCCTAAAAGGATTTCTCATACAGAACCAGTTACTGTAAACATCTGAAGACTCTCCTGATCAGCCTTTGGACTAGCTCACTCTCAGCCGTGTAAAATGCTGGAAGACGAGGGGAAAGGAATCTAGAGACCAAGCTAAGGTGTGTGGAGAAACAGGCAGAGCCCCAGGACTGTGCTCTAACTGCACCCAACTAACGTACCCTTTCAGATTCCCTATAAGGCTCCATGACTGACAAAAGAAACTTTACACCCACCCACCACCCTCTTCCCGTCCTTTGAAGATTCCCAGTCTCCGAGGTCTCCCGTTCTTTGCTCCCGGGAGCCAAATATGGGTCCCTATGCAGCAGGAAGGGTGGCAGCCCTCTGCTCTCTTAAAGCCCAACCTAACAGGGCAAATTTCAACAGGGTCCCCAACCCCATTCCAGACACAGACAGTAAAGATGGTCTCCAGAACCAGCTTTGCAGAAGGAAGAAGAGGGAATTTTGTGACCAAAGTCTTGGAGCTCCTGGGAGAAAAGAAGAAGGGCTTGTTACCAAGAAGTTTGTTGCCCCTCTCAACTTTCCTAGTGGGGAGCTGTTCAAATCAGTCCCTTCACTTTCAGGCCACTAGCATTTCCAGTATGTCTTCTGAACACAAGATAGGCAAATGCTCCACTTCATCTTAACGCATCAGGGTCCCTAAAAGGATTTGCTGTTCCTGAGGTGGCACCGAGGCTCCCACAAGAAGCCCAGACCTGGGGTACACAAGACACTGGAGCGGGACAGTTTGGCCTGGTGGGTCTCTCTTATCCTTGCCACCCAGGTGACCTAAAGGCCGCTCCACAGCTCCCCTCAAACAAACAGCAACAATAAAAAAGGTTTTGTCTCTCCTTAAAGGAAAGGTGAAATACAAAGCAAGAGCGACCAGTGAAAGCACTGAGGAAGCGGAATGCTGCGGCTGGTGTGCCTGAGAAAGAACCCAAACCGCAGGGCTCACACCCTCCTCCCTGCTGGATCAGAACAGAACATTCTTCAAAATGAGGTATTTCCGGGTATTTTTGACAATTGTGTTTTCCCAGTTTACCTCTCAGTGGCCCCCAGACACAGGAGTTAGAGTATGAGTGCAACTGGAAGCTGAGAAATTGGTGGGCTAAACTCCAAAGGAAGCGTAAGTGCCCCAGCTCCAGGATGTGAGGGTCACAGCCTGGCCACAGAGCCAGGTCCAGCTGATGCCAAGCCTAAGGGCTGCCCAGTCCAGGTGTCCTCTCACCTTTTCTTTCCCTCTCCTCCCTGGGGAGAGATGCCTACGAGCTACCTAAGCCCTTAGGTCCTTCTGTCCTACTCTTTTAAAAAAATACCCTTCTCCTGGAACACACACACAACTCCTCGCCTTTGGAAAGCGAGATTGGGTGAGACTGCAAGTGCATGTGTGTGTTTGCAGAGAGGGCGGATCAAGCGCCCAACACACCCCCAAACTTACCCCCACCATGGAATCTCACTTTTCCACTCACCCAAAGCAGGCTCAGGCCCTGTCAGTTCTCTCCCAGCCTCATTTTTCCCCAATAGCCGAACTCCGCGAGTTTCCCTCTGGCACTGAGGTAGGGACGTGCACTTAGTCTCTTCCGTGTAAAGGAACCCAGAGAGTCCGCACAACAGAATCGCATCAGCGCTACCAGACTCTGTCACCCTGACACAGGCCTGCGCATCCTTTCCGCAGCCAGGCCGACCTCTGTGCAGAGGGGACAGGAAAGCCCTGAAATCCTGGCCCCAGTCAATCAACTGCTCCACACCCGCTGAGCCCCAGCGCCGGGGCCCGCGCCCCCCACTGCGGCGCTAGCCTTACCTGCGCTGGGGCCCCGCGGCACGGGGAGCGGGGCTCCGGCGCGACTCTGCAGGCTGTGCAGCACCGGGGTCTCAAAGGGTCCAGCGGGCCAGGCGGGCGTCAGTGGCGCACCCACGTAGGGAGAGTAGGGGCTCGGGTGGTGGTGGTGGTGGTGGTGGTACGTGCCGTTCAGTGGCCGGGCCGCCGACAGCGAGCTGTACTGGTGCTCGCGGCCGCCCATGGCCGCCAGGCTGCCGCCGCCGCCGCTCACGCCGCCCGCGCCCCCGCCGCCCGCAGCCGCGTAGCCCCCCGGCTCCCGCGCCGCGCCGTTGGCCATGGGCGGGCTGGGGGAGTAGGGGAAGCGCGCCGAGACGTGCGCCGCGGCCGAGCTAGAACTGCCGGGCCCGGCGGCCCCGCTGCCCGCCGCGCCGCCGCCGCTGCCGTACGGGGGGCTGTCGGCCGAGGCCTGGGGCCAGCCGGGGTGTGCGCCCGCGCCGCCCGCGTGGTTGGCCGGCCCGCTGCCCGCCCCCTGCAGGTAGGGCAGGCCGGGCAGCATGGAACCCACGCGGGTGGTGGGCACGTACACTGGGGAGTTGGCCGCCGCCGCCGCGGCCGCTGCTGCCGCGGCCGCAGAATGCACGAAGCCGCCGGCCGCGCCGTCGTAAGCGGCTGGCCCCTGGCTGGAGAGGGCGGCGAGGGTCTGGTACATCTCCTCCGGCTGCTCGGGTGCGAAGGGGCTCAGCTTGGCGCCGCGGCTGGACCACAGCAGCTTGCTGGCGGTCGCGGCCTGGTCGAGGTCAGTGAAGAGCAGCAAGTCCTCCCAGCTCGGCAGGGCGCTCCCGGGGCCAGCGACCCCGGGCGCCGAGGGTCCGTGGGGAGCCCCGAAGGGATGCGAAGCGTAGGGGCTGAGCAGCAGCGAGCGGGCCGGGGTTCCGGCAGCCGCCTCGGAGTCGAGCTGCGGCGTCCTGCAGTGGTTGGCGCCGCCGGGGCCGCGCTCCCCGCCCCGGGAGCAGCAGGAGGAGGACGAAGAAGAGATGGGGGAAGGTGGCGTGGAGGGCTCCGGCGCTGGAAAGGCCCCGGAGTTGCCCGCGTCTGTAGCCGCGGCCCCGAAGCGCTTCGGCAGGCACCAGCCGCCGTCAGTCAAGGCCATCCACGGTCCCGCGCCGCTCCAAGCTAACTTCTAGCTCCTGAGGCGAAGCGGAGGAGACGGACACGGGAGGAGAAATAAAGACGGGTTACCAAAAGCGTATGACAACCTCCACTCCCTTTCCTAGCTCTAATGGGATCTAAGTCAAATGGGACCTTTAAGACTCCCTGAAGATCCCAGGTCGGCCCAGGGCGTGGGGATTGGGGAGGGAGCGGGGAATGGAGCCTGCGCAGCCGCCAAAAGGTCCTCAAAGGACTGGGAGACCCGCCCTCCCTCACTGGCACCCCAGGATCCCCTTGCCCTCCCCGCGCACCCCTCGGCAGCATCCTTCCTCCGTGCGCGCGCCAGATCCCAGGGGTGATCTCGGTGAAGCTGGCCTAGGCTTTCCTTCCGCCCCAAAGAGTCTCCCTCGGGGCTGATGACACACAAAAGAAATTAAGTAGCAGTGCGTGTCGGCTCTGCCGCCTCCCGCCTCCCTGAGGACGCCCCTCTCTCGTAATTCCTCGGCGTGAGGGCTCCCCGCGGGAAAATCATTAGCGCAAAGAAGGCGACCTGTCCACGAAAACGAAACCGCCGCGTTCTCCCTGCTGGCTCTCCCAGAGTTTCCCCGGCTGCGCCGACCAGACCGAGCGCGAGCCCCAGAGAGAAATGCAATCCAACGCAGGGAAAGCGGGCGCCAGGGCGGAGCCCGCAGCCGGGACCTTCCGGGCACTGGCGGGCACTGGCGGTGCGGGGAGCCCGCGCGCCACACACCTTACGCAGGGCCCGCGCCTGCAGGCAGCAGCGCGCGCTCACGCCGGCCCGGCCACCCCGGCCCAGCCCGCGGTCATCCTCAGCCGCGGAAAAGCCGAACCGTTCCGGAATCGGACGTAGCGGGGTGGGGCGCAGCGCAGAGAAAAGGAGGGGAAAACGCAGGGCGGGGTGGGGGGTGGCGAGACCGCCCCGGAGCCAAGGCCACCCCAAAGGGGAGAGCAGGAAGAATGACAGGGAGACGCGGAGGGAGTGGGGGAGGGAGGCAAAATGCAGCAGGGCTGGTCTCCTCCGGGCTGCTTTTCCAATCGCTTTGGCTCAGCGGAGATTACCACACTAAAATTAATGCCCACACATACACAGACCTCCGCTAGATAGCAAGAAAGAAGTTTCTCTGCCCGCCCGACTGCCGGCTCCCGCCCCTTTGCGCCGAGATAACTCGGAGATAAGCTGCGCGCAGATAAGCGCCACGGGGACAGAAAGACACCAGAAGTTTGTCCGCGGTGTCCCGGGAACCTGGGAGCCGCTACAGCCCTCCGGGAGGGGAGGAGGGAGACGCTTCGGCGCCGACCCGGCCAGAGAGCCGAGGCCTGGAGGCCCGAGACGGGCAGGGCAGGAGGGGAGGAAGGCGGGGAGCGAGCGAGGGAGGAAGCGGCCGAACCTCGAGCGGGCGCGGCGCATGGAGAACGGCGGCGGCCGAGGCTGCTCCGGGCGCGAGAGAGGCCGAGGGCGCCAGCGGGCGAGCGCGAGTCCCGGTCTGCGCGGCGCTGCTGGTGAATAAAAAGGAGAGAGGAGGCGCCTCTCACTGCTCTGCCGGAAAACTGCAGCCTGCGCTCCTGATTGGACTCACCGAGCCCTAAACAAACAGCGCTCGCCGAAGGGTGCCAGGCTGTGGGTCGGAACTGCGCTCTGCGAGCCGCTGGGCGCTGGAGGTGAAGAGGAGGAGGGATCGAGGGGAGGGGAGAAAAAGGGTGGGGAGGGGACGGCGAGGGGGAGGGGAGCGCGCCGCCCTGGCAGACAATGAGCGCTGCGCAGCCTGCGGGCGTGGGCTGAGCCGCGAGCACCGTCCCCGGAGTGGGGGCGAGTCCACCTTGGGGGCGCCGAGCCCAGGGACGCCGGGGGAGGGGTGGAGGAGACAGAACGCCTGACCTGGCTGGCGACCCACACCCATCCAGCCGCCGAGCACCCTCCGGCGCCCCCAGTTGCACGCGCGCACACACACACGCACACGCAGAAAGAGGAGGGAGCCTTGGCGCAGGAGGAGCTGGCAGTGCACGCTGCGCCGCCGTCGCGGCGGGAGGGGCGCGCCAGCTCCCGGGTCAGCGCGCCCCCAGGATGAGGGGGAAAAGGCTTTGCTCCCTCTCCCCCCGTAAGCTTTCTGCTCTGCAGTCGTGTGTGACCTTAAACTTTCCCCGACCCTCTCTGGGATGCTAGGGCTCGGGTCACGGTGGCCGTTAGGGGTTGGGGCTCCCCCAATCTGGGAAACAGGGAACCCAGGTGCCCAGCTCCTATCTCTCCCTTGCTCTTAAAATATATACTGAATTCCTGGGAAGTTTCGGGAGCTTCACGACGACATTCCCCAGCTAACCTTTGGGAACTTTTAACTGAGGTCGTCGTGTACAGAAAGGTTAGTCTATGGGGTGTGCAGGGTGGAAAAGGGCTTCCTTGTCGGTCACGTCCGGGGACGCTCTCCGAGTTCTGAAGTCCGGTGCGCTCTGAGCCTGCCCTGGGCAACTTCGGGTTAGTTGCAGGAGAGTGGTGGCGAAGCGGGGCGCGGGGTGGGGGGTCACCTTGCCTTACCCAGCGCTTCCCCGCCCCCACCCTCATGTACACACCCCTTCTTCGCTGCCTCCAAACGGTTATCACAACTGTGTGCAAACTGACACGGTCCTCAGCGGGCAAAGGGACTGGAAATGAGCATCGCGGGGTTATCACGCCGATCTGTCAGCGGAGAGCCGCGCGGCTGCAGGCCGGCCCGCGGCGCGAGCCCTGATATATGCCCCGCTCCCGTTCGCTCACAAAAAGGATTTCTTCCGACAGACGTGACCCCAGAAGGCTGCCCAGAGAATTTAAGTAGGGCAAGAGGAGTTGTTTTGTGAGAATGGAATTTTTACACTTTTTTCCCAGGTAAATCGAAGTAAATGATTTCCTAAAGGTCAGTGTCTTTGAAAGCGTTTAGGCTCTGCTTTTTGGTTTGGTTTTGTTTTGTTTTATTTTTGCTTTTTTCCAGTTAGGGAAGGGAGAGGGTGCCTAAGCAGAGTCGAGTCGGGGTAGGTAGGTGCGCTGTAAAATACGGTTTCGAGAGATTGTGAGACCTCGTCGCTAAGTGTAGGTTTCCTTTCAGCGTAACTGTGAGTTGTGAACCTGTGGGTCCTGAGGGGGCAGGAGGGACAGGAGGGACAGGGCTTGGCTGTGCGGGGGAGGGGGCGCGCTATCCAGGAAGTTGGCGAGAATTCTTCTTTTTTCATTCTTCGTTGTAAATTGCTCCTAAACACTTCTGAATTTTAAATTGCTACCGAGAAGGTCTATAAACCGTTTTCATACTATTTAGTCACTTTTATTACATTCCTCTTTGCCCCCCCCCCCCAATCACTGCGGCGGCTCCCAGTTTCAGCATGGCCGAATTTCTAAAAGGCTGAAGGTAGAAAACTCTGGAATGGAGAGACTGGCGACTGGAGCAGGATCCAGGGGCTTTAAATTTTAACCTGAATTCGATCGAATGCGACGACCAGAAGAGGTAGCCTGGCGTTCGGCAGCCGCTCAACTTCCACCAGGACTTGGAATGCCTTGTTTTTGGCTCTTCCGTGAGTTCTGGCCAAATTTTTAAATGGATTGGGTTTTTGCAGAAGTTCATTTGTAAGCAGTCACGGAAATGTTGTGGACGTTTGATTTCTTTTGAGTCCACTGTTTTGAAATAATGTTTCTCAGGTTTACTATTAAAAGCAATTTAAAGAAGAAAAACTTCATATCTTATTTGCTAAAAATAAAATATTTGGCTAAATTTGCGTCTAGGCTGTCAATGGCCTCCCAGCCCAATCCCCAAATAGATCGAGCCCCGGCGCGAGCCTGATTCCTGTCCCGTGTGTTTCTTTATATTTGCAAGTAGAGGATGCCTGTGTGGGTTTCCCTGGACAATAGCTAGCCCCCGGGACCTGCGCTTTCCTTAGCGCCACAGCCGCGCGGGGAGGGCGCGCTAGCCCCGGCCGCTGGGACGGCGGTGGGCGGCAGGACGGACATTGACCGATTCGACAACGTTCGGGCTCTAAGGGCTCGAGAAAGGATCTCGCATTTTACTCTCCGGATTCTCCATCTCTTTTTTAGTAGTGCCCAGAACAAAGGAGAAAATAGGTAATTGCTCTTTTTCAGGGTCACGCATTGTATTTATTTTTTAGACTGGTTTTCCAACCAAACGGGGGAATGGGTAGTGAAATGGGGTGTGTTTTTTTTAATGTCAGTTAATTTAAAAATAAAAGAAAACTGTTTAACTCGTAGAGTTGATTCAGACAGAAAACCAGGCTGCCCGACCCGGATCTGCCTTTTACCCAATGCGTTGGCCTTGGCGCTGGGGACAACACCGCGGGGGAGAGGCAAGTTTCCAAAGCCACCTTCCTGGGCCCAAGGCCCCGCGAGCTGAGCTTCCTCGGCGCGCCCCAGCTGGTCTGGGAGGCAGGCAGAATGGGGGTAAGGAGGGAAGAGGTGCACCCCAAACTAGGGAGAAACCCAAGAACTGGAGAGAAGAGCCCCACAGTGCCCCAGGTAGACAGGCTCTTAGACGTTCTTGCTTTCTTTCCTCTTCCTTTTCCTTTTTTTCACCCCCGCCTGTCCCCTCTTTCGGGATTTACTAATCTTTAACGAAACTGTTTCCCTCCGGACTATTTAGACCCAAAGAGCAGCCCCTCTGGAGCGAGCCGTCCTTCTCGCGCTCAGAGAGGGCTGGCTCCGGGGCGCGGCCTGTCCCCAGGGTTGATTTATTTGGGCCGCGCCACACCACTATTCGCGATTCGAATCCAGCCAGAACACAGCAGCCAATTGGGCAGGGGGCGGGGGCTTTGCTGCCACACGGGACGGTGTTCAGGGACCCAACCGTGCGCCGCTTCCGGAGGAGCGGCGAGACCCGAGCGAGGACCCGCGTCACCGTCACCCACCTTACCCGTCTAGCCCCGCAAACTCAAGCTCATTGGCTTAGTTCGCAAGGCTCCTGGCTGCTCCAGCGGCGTTTCCGAAAGAAAAAGATCGCGACTTCTGACTTGAAATATAGTTTTAGCGTTAGATTTTTATAAGCCAGATTTATGAGGCCTTCTCGCTTATACCATATTTCTTCCTGTCCCGGCGACGCTATTACCCAAGGACACGGGGTCACTTCAGCGCCCCCCATCGCCGCCAGCGTCCAGGCCCAGTAGCCGGGTCTGGGTGTCGTGTCCCCCACAGTCAGCGACCGTAAGTCCAACGCAGGCCATTGCCCAGAGGCCTGATGGTGATTTTCTTTCTTTTACATTTAATTCCCAAAAGAATTAGAAGTACTCTTTGGCAACGTCAGGTGACTGGGGCGGAAGCGCGAAGCTCGCCCAACCCCCGCCCCGGCTCCCCGCCGCCAGCCCTGTGGGTGAGGCACTGGCGGAGCGGGCGCCGGGGTCCCCAGGGGCGCGGCCAGTCGGGCCGGGGGCGCGGGCCCGGACGCGGCGCGGCGCGCGGCTCCAGGCGCGGCCCGGCCCGGCCGGCCTCTCCCGGCGCAGCCCCGGGCCGACCCCGCGCCGCCGGCGGCCGCCAGCTCGGCGCGGAGGTGGGCTCGCGGCGGCGGCGCGCGAAAGGTCACCGCAGTGGCATTCCTCTCCGCGCGCTGTTTACGCGGCTTAATGTGCTCCGTGCGCCGCGGGTAGGTTAGGGCCGCGATAAGGGGGCGTCCGGGGCAGCGTCGCTGTAAAAGCCCCACGCTGGGCGCCCTAGCCCTCCCTCGTCCATTAACCTTTTTACTTTCTTCTTCCCTCTCTCTCTTAAAGCTTGTTATCTAGGCCACCCAATGACCGACGAAAGATTCCCCCCCCTGCTTCTCCCGTGGCCGCTTTAAACCAAATAAATCGAGCTATTAAGGGCCAAGATGTCTGACAAAAGATCGAAAGGTGTCTTTCGGTGATCGCTTAAAGGGGCGAAGGAGAAGCTTGCGGCTCGCAAATCCCGATAAAGAAATTCCACAGCGGCGCCGGCCTCCCTCCTCGCGGCCTGCTTGCGCCCTGACACCCTGAGATCCCCGATGTGTGGCCGCTGCCGGGGAATGTGGGTGTCGGGGCTGCGGGGCCTGGGAGTGCCAGGTCCGGGGGGCGGAGGCAGACACTGGGGTTCCCGGGCGCTGTGGAACTCCGGGTCGGGTCGGGGCTGGGGGTCCCAACATGGCCCCCTGCGCGTCGCAGAAAAGCAGAGCTCAGAGGGCCTAAATGACTATCCCATTTTGATTACTTTATGGTACTAAATATTATAGAGACAAAGCCAACCCTCTCCACCTACACGGCCCCACTTCCTTTTTCTAAGGGACGACCTAATGCTCCACACCTCTGGTCGTGGTGAGCGGACCTTCCTTTGAACCCCAGGCAGAAGGTGGTTGGCACAACCCAACCGGGCAGCTGGGTTAGACTGAGGCTAGCTGGCCTCGAGGGTGTGGAC